TCAAAAGTAACTAAGTAACTAAGCTGTTTTATGGATGGTAACTGTAATATTATTACTGAAATCTTATTAGTAACTAGTTACACTACTAGTTACTGCAAAAGGTAATAGTATTACAGTAACTAAGTTACTAGCAACTAGTTACTGCCCAACACTAGTAGTAGTAATGTAATAGAAATTATAAATGTATCTACCAAAGAGTTACAAATAAAACAAAATTACGGCTTATTTCTGCATTTCTGGTAAAATTATCTCCCCCCATTCACTGCATGGTTTCGTCCCGTCCTACGTAGCCTAGAGTCACTGAGTGCGATCAGATGGTAAACTGTCAAATTAGAGATGTCTTTGAGTTTGAGTGGGGGCAAACCGAGCCGGACGATTTGGTCAGTCGCACTTTTAAACACATTTTAGTTTTGCTACAGAAAAGCTACAAATTCACACTGATTACAACATAGAGCAGCAGCAGGGAGCGCATGAGGTTGTCATGGCAACTAGATACACTGCACGCGAATTACGGATGCGCTTCTATGTTGCCACACTAAACTTAGCAATAAACACGTTGAAAATAATACACACTAAACATGTCTGTCAAAACGATCTCAAAGGAGGCTTTTATTAAGCAAATCAAGGAGTGAATTACTCATCCACTGTTTTTAAAACAGACATTTGTGAGCTTGATTCAAGTTAACGCATAATGACAGGCGCACACTTTCTATTTAGTCTTACTGAATAGACGATAAACAGTTTATATTCTAAAATCTATTTAAAGGTTGTGTTCTGTGAAAATTAAATAACATTTGGATGTAAATGGTCGACATAAAAGTAGTGTGCGGCTAAACCGGCTGCATCCTGTGGATCACCTTTATCTGATTGTCCGGGTCCGGAATCATTAAGCACGGCATTAATATCTTCATCGGAGTTTCAAACTCATTCCATATCAGCAGAATAGTGTGGTACAGAAAGTCTATGTCCATAGAACAGGTTCTTAATGAATTATGTTACTGATCCCTAATGGTCAAAAGCAATAGCAAAAGTAATGGGTCAATATTATTAAATTGCAGACCAAGATTTTGAATAGCTAGGCTGGCTTGTACACTATATTGCCCAAAGTATTGGGACCACCCCCCCCTCTAATGAACAGGTTTGACTACTTTAGTAATTTCCATGAGTAAAAATCTTAATGTTTATTCTATGTTAAATGCTATTCTAGGGAATTGTGTGCTTGTAAATTTATACCAATAGTTTGGACAGGACCCTTTTCTATTCTAAAACGACAATGCCTCTGTGTATAAGGCAAGGTAAAAAAAAATAAATAAAAAAAATAAAAAAAGATTGATTCAGTCAGTGTGGAAGAACTTGACTGGTCTGCAGAAAGCCAA